GCAATTTGGGTGGGCATTCTCTTTCACTCAGCTTAACTAATGACCTCTCTAGCTGATTTGTCTGGTGATGATGCAAAAGATAAATAACCCACCAAATTCATCCTGATCTGTTGTAATCATAGCTATACATTTAGCTAACCATTTGTGACAGATTTTTGACATTAAATGTCATAAATGATACAATTGAAGAGTACAAAGTATTTGAAGGGAAAGTTACTTTTAGGTCATTTTTCCCATCCTGCAGACAGTTCCACTAAAAGGGAAAAGAATCAGACCCCACTGATTTAAGGACCCTTCACTTAAAGACCAAGGTCACAGCATTTTCTGTCTTCTTTATAATTGGACTGTTCAACCATAGGTAAAGTCTTACCATATCAATCACTGCATGAATGAAGGCTGAATAAAAGCATTTACTGAACTGTCACATTCATGATAAAACAACAGATGCTGTCAGCTTTAAAGGGAATACGTTAATGGGACAAAACCTTAAAGATAAAGATTAGTCATAGCATGCCCTTAAGATCACTTATTTATGGTCACAGTTCAGCTCAGAAATAAAAAAGAATATAATCCTTGTTTACTGTCAATTAAGCTTATCTTAGTACCGAACAGTGTATCAAACAACAGAGGTGTATTGATTTTCCCCTTCACAAGTACATGTTGCCATTCTTCCCAGCACTTTATGTCAGGCTGCTTTTCTGAAAGTCCCTATCACTCTCAGTTCTGCTAGTTTGACTTTCTAGCCGGTGGATACTAGCCACTTACATTTCTATAATGCCTTGCATCCTGAACAATCCCAAATTTATCAAAACAATATACAAACAAGGGACCCAAGGCTGATTTTTTTGATTTTTTTTTACATGCATGTGTGGTCCTATTCGGAGTCAAGGGCAGATACCACAAAGAAATCAAGGCTTGAAATGGTGTGGAGACTGAACTATCTGCCCATCCTTATCACAGGATTGAGGCACATTGCTAGGGAAAGTATGGGGAAGTCTAGACTGCATCTGACTGTGCTGTTTGATTTAAGAATACAGAACATGAGTCTCCTGGGATATTAGTCCGTTTCCTTTGACCAGAATTAAATTTTAGAGAAAGGTCTAAAATGAACCCCCCAAAACATCCTTGAATAGGTTTAAACCTATGGTCTTGGAAAAGACTAACTTGTATTTGAAAAATTGTTCCTTTGTCAGATGTATGACTGAACCTCCAGGGGATTGAATGTGAAATTAATGATTAGAGCTGGTCAGGAATTTTTTAAATGAAACTTGTGTCAGAAAATACTGATTTCTCAAAACTGAAACTTTTCAAAGCATTGTATCATTTCAGTGAAGAAGTTTCTCATATCTAGGATGGAATCTCAGGTCAAAATGTACATGTGCATGTCACCAATAATCCACTGGGAGGTGGAGACTCAGGTTCAAGTCCTTATCCTCTGGATTATTGGCTAGTCTGGGGTGGGGATGTCTCCTGGGGGTTTTTCATGAAAAGCCCTGAGAAGTCTCCATTTTGTCCTGATGTGGAACAAATTCTCAATTTATTTTTTTGTGTGAAATGGAATTGTTTCCCAAACAGCCCTATAAATGATTTATTTCAGCCTAAATCAGCAAAATGGTTACTTGCTTATGTACCTCAAAACAATGTTAAGAAGAGTGGAATTAATATGTTCCCTTAACAGCCAACCTGTTTTATTTTTTCCTTCATATCAGCATTTTTACTTTCATTATTTCAATATTAAATCTTCTTTTATTCCCCTGCATACCTTCATTTTGTTTTATTGGCTTTCAGTTTAGAAGAAACATGACTTTGGCTTTATTTAAAAAAGTACATAAACACATTTTGTGCTATTCTGTAGTTTGCTTAGATTTTGGGGGGTGCGGGTGGGGAGAATTATTCACTCTTCTGAGGCAACTTCCCAGAAAGTCAGTATTGAGTCTCCAATTCAGCAAAGTACTTAAGCACACGATTTATTTCAGACATATGCTTAAAATTAATGTGATTACACACTTGCTTAAAGTTAAGCATGTGCTTAAGCTTTTTTGACTCCTGAGAAAAATATGTAAATATAAAAATTAAATTCCCATGAGTGATTTAGAGGCCCAGTCATGAAGAGACATGTTGAGAAACAAAAATCAAGAGAATTACTCACCTGAGTAAACATTTGCAGAATTGTTTCCTATAATTACATGAACCATTGACAAATTTTCTAAGCGTGGTTACTGAAAGGTAGACACCTAAATAAAGTATCTAATTTTAAGGACCAAAATTTGAAAATGTTGGCCTATTTTTTGTTTTTGATTGAAATAAAAATATATTAATGTCCCTCCCTTTTAATATATACAATTTCCATAACTTTTTCCACTGTTTTCCTTTTACAAGTGAATACTGCCAGCAATTCCATAGGCACTAAATCTGACCGGACTATCTTTGTTAGTTCCACTACTGTAACATGTGTCCTGGAAATGAACACCATACCCACTGAAGTTGTAATGACCCTTGTGAGTGTGTACATGGCTGGGACACAAAGCGCATTTATCTCTCCATTGTGCCATAAGCATTACACATAAGCTTCATTCACAATTGCAGACCTTGAATGTTCTTGAGTAGAGTGGGGAGGGGAGGTAACAGGCTATCTCCTGTCAGCAAGCTACAGGGGGGAGTGTTTGCTGCATCTCCATACGGCTTAGGAGTCGGGGCCACTCCCAAGCCCTGCTTCACGAGCTTCTTTCTCTCCAGTTACCCTCTTCCTTCAGGGCTAGTCACATGAGAAACAAGCCCCTCCTTGCAGCAGCTTACCTTCCTCACAATCAAGCTGTCCCTAAAAGACTGTGAGATCACCCAGCTCCTTCACAGCTGCACTTAAACTAGACCCACACCATGTAACCCTCAGCTGGGAGGGTATCTGCTCACAGGCAATGCTGACCCTGACTCTCCTTAAAGGGCCAGCCACTTGTGACAGGTAAAAGTGATGGCATCACAGTCATATCAGACTCAGCACATAACTGACCAGGCTCCACATAAATCATTTGGCATCCTTTCTCATATAGTTATTCCAAAATCAATTTTAATTTTTTTTCTTCTTCATGTGAGCCTGCTCACATAATGCATGCATAGCAGGGGACTGATGTCTAAGGACCTGACCTACTCCAGTTTAAATCCAGAGTAACTCCCCTGAAGCGGGTGAAATTATTAAGTAAAAATTAATCAGGCCTTATTTATTAGTTCAACTCTGACTTCATTCAGCTTCCTTCTACTAACAATGTTCATAGGTCTTTGCTAATAAAAAGATCATTGTAGGCAGTCACCACAGCAAAATAGTATCTATAAACATTCCAGCCATCTCTTTCACCCACTTCTTTCTTCCGTTTCCCACTGTATTTCTTGTTGTGTCTTCAGCTCCAAAACTCTTCCTTGTTTTCATAGCTTGTTCGCTCTCAAAGGCAAGGACGGTGTCTTGTACAGCACTTACCATAATGCAGACTTTGGGCTTTGTGACCTTTGGGCATTGTAATACTCTAATATTAAACATAATAATAAAATTGACTCCCAAGAATAAAATTGTAGATAAAGGGGAGAAAATGGGTTAAAGTCTGAATATTAAAGTTGATGGCAGTATTATGGTTTATTACAAAAGACCATGCTTCCTTTTAAGTATTGTAAAAGGTAATAGTTTTCCTGGAATACACGTCTAAAAGTGTTTTGTGAAAAGGTTTTCATTTCACTTTACTTGAGACAGGGACACGGGTGATAAGGACTCTAGAAAATCCACAGGCAGAAAGACAGATAATCTAAACCATTTATCAGACATTTGGAGTATGGGTAAAACAGGACTCAGATCTAAACCACCCTGCTTTGGGTTTTGCAGAACCTAAACATGACCAGCACATTTCTGCAAAGCCCAAACCACCCCTTCTATCTTACCTTGATGTTGAACACACACATCCCCAAACTGGAGCCATTTATTTCAACATGTGAACTTTGTGGGAGTTAGTTGAATGGAACCAGGATCTGAACCTACCTCGGGTTTGGATTTGCAAAAACAGCACCATCTCTAGCAGCAAAGGGAAAAAGCTCTTTACAGAAGTAATAGGTTTCAGAGAGACCGCTCTGGCTTCTGGCATTGTAAGCAGGTTGATTGCTATTTCCCCCAACATGCGACTTTAGTTCTTCCAGTTAAAAAAAAAAAATCATCACACTATACTTTGAGTAAAAAAAAAAGAATGGATTTTATAGATGCCACCATCTTACATTTCACAGATACATCCTGGGAAATAGTGCTAGTGCTTATTTCAAGGGAAATCTCATGTTCCTGTCAGTTTTCAAGTTCCTCAGGCATGTATGGGTTTACTGATACTAAAGTGAACATTGCCTGAGGATACAGGAGTGGCTTCTCGAACCTATACATTTTAGAACTGACTCTGGCTAGAGTTCAAGCTACAAGTGCCCATCATTTGGAATAAAATAAACCAGTTTTTCACCCTTGCTCCTGCTCATTGACTTATTAGCAAATTTTATTAACTATTGTTAAAAGTCTGCATTACTACACATAGCTCCCTCATGTATGAAATATCAGAAGAGCCAGAATTATCCATCTATAGGTCTCCAATTCCCCATTTAATGCCCATAAACTGGCTACCCAGTTAGTGCAACATAAAACACACAAAACACAACTGTTGCATGAAAAATTCCATCCAACTTAATTAACATTCTAATATCGTATCTGTGAATGCAGCACTTAAAGGAACACTGTTAAACACAGTAGCTAGGACACAAAATGTGACCTCTGCCACAAAATTACTTGGAGCTCATGGCATAAAGAGTGTGGAAGTTACTATTCTGTTTCTCTAAATTCATCACAAATCCTAAAGAATGGTGATTCTTTGGGAGAGATCCAAAATAACCCAGTTTCCCTCTGCTTACTCATGAGTGTCTGTTGCTTGACATTATTCTATGAGCTGATTGCACTGCTGATACTGGCATTCACATGGAAAAGCACAACATTGGTGGGGGGAAAAGTTTTATTTTTAAACACCACAGAGTTGGAAATAAACATGGAAAAATTGAAGAAACTTTGACAGTGTCCTTTTAAAAGTCTATCAGGACTCAAGGAGACTTAGCACAGGAAAAACAGATCCAATTGCTGCTTAAAGCTGGCCATCATTTCTGAAAGTACTATGGTCAAAGGTTAGTCTTAACCAATAATGTTAGCAACTAAAGGGTAAGAGTTACAACAAACAGGAACCATGAGATTGCTGGCACAGCTGACATCAACAAACACACTGCGGAAACAGACTAAGTGGTATCACAGTACCCCACATCATAAGACAAATTCATATATTTGCAACATATATCTATCATATAAAAACATTCAGGAACATTTAGGGGCTGATTTCTGTCCCCTTCAGGTGTAAAATATTAAATAAACGTGTGATCGTTGGTTTGGCATTTTTTTTAATATCTACAGAACACATTCCTTTCTTGCCAAGGTTAAAAAAAAAAATTATTCAAGGACTTAATTCAATCCAAGCTGACTTTTTCTGTATTTCCACCTTTGTTTGCTTGCCGTCATCATTATTATCCGCTGGGCCAAGCTGTCACAAGACAGAGAGAGTTTTCAAATCCTTTACAGTCTTTTATCAATGCTCTGATCTGTAAGTGGGGAAAGTGTCTGTTCGATGAAGCTTCAGGGGGCTTGAAACATCTTCACCAAATCAGATGCAAGAAAAACAAGCGTAGTTACTGTACACAGCACTTTAGTCTAGAACTAGCTAAAGAATGAGACATGCATTAGACTCACTTTAGTTACTTAAGGGAAAGATTGTCACTGTACAATCTGCCGCACTGCCCTAGGAGCTGACCAAGAAGGGAATGTAGAGAGTCACATGTCCCTTCTGGGCTCCTTCCTTACTCCAAGGGGAAGCAATCGGCTACTGGTCTGTACATATACGTATAGGTAGAAGACTGCTTCTCCTGCCATGCTGATTCAGCTCTTCTACCTGATGTGCTGTGGGAAGGAGCCAAAACTCCATCCATTCTCCACCCTCCTGTGCAGAAGGGACAAGAGTGGTCTCATAGAGGCTGTTCTCCCTTTCTTGCTGTGACCCACAAAGTGTGTAGCCCATTCAGGACACACAAGGGCTCCTATATCACCTCACTCTCCTGTGTGAGTGTGTAGGACAAGCAGTCATTTTGCACTAAATTAAATAAAAATGTAAACAGGGCCAAATTGAGCTGCATGTACTCAGGCTGAATGGTGCCTGACTTCAAAGGCCATCCCAGTACGATCCATGGGACTATTCCCTAGAGATGGTCAGGAAATGAAAATTTCAACATTAGCAAGTCAGTTTCCATTCTGAATCAGAACAGAAAGTCATAACAGTGAAACGTTTCACAAACCAACAGCATACAAAAAGTTTTGATTCAACATTGCAAAACGAGATCAGGCCATTTTGTTTCCAAATGTCAATTCAAAATGAAAATGTTCATATATTTTGGAAAATTCCCCAAAAAATGGGAATTGAATTTTTTTTGCTTTTCAAAACTTCTTCCCCGCAGAAAATGTAGCTTCACAGCAATTTTACAAATATCAACCTTCTCCACTTCTCACTTGGTAAGATACTACTCAACGTGTGTAAGGGTATTGCAATTGGGCCCATGCTTAGGACAAAGTTTATTTTATACTGAGTGTTTCCTTTCCTCTTGGTAACTTGGTGCATTCTAAGATTTTGGTGAACTAAACTGATTACATATGTTACAGGTACTGCGTGAAAAGCAGTTCTAAATACCAAGTAACACAATAATCCTAATGGGTGTTTACTAATTGGAACACTATTCTATGTATGACTTATTTCTGGAAGTCCCAGGACTTATCAGAGAATTTAGATCCATTAGCCAGTCCGAGCTGTGGATTTTTTCAAGGATCCTTCTCTTTAGTTTATTAAATCTAAGCAATTTTTCAAGTATAAAAATAACAGTTTGTGCCAATATTGTCTCCCTATTTATCTTATGTCAAATACATTGGTGTTAAATTATTACTTTAATAGGGGGCTTTATCATAAAACACAGTAAGAAAAATCTGCTGATTGTGGGGTAATGTTGCAAATAAACGTTTTTCTCATTGTGTCAAAGGCTGTCATCAGCAGGTCAAGCCCTAATTTATGGAGCAAATTCAAACTGTCATTTAAGCAAAATATTGCTTTTACTCTTCATCCCTTTTTCAAAACATTTGCTGCTTTTATGTTGTGTCTGCGCCCTCTAGTGTTCAGATCATCTTCAAAGACAGTAGGGAAAATCTGCTTAGCTTTTTTTAATGGAGATATCCCATCTCCTAGAACTGGAAGGGACCTCGAAAGGTCATCGAGTCCAGCCCCCTGCCTTCACTAGCAGGACCAAGTACTGATTTTGCCCCAGATCCCTAAGTGGCCCCCTCAAGGATTGAACTCACAAGCCTGGGTTTAGCAGGCCAATGCTCAAACCACTGAGCTATCCCCCCCTTTGTTTATGTGTTTGTGATAAATGAGGCAGGAGAATGAGAATGGTACACAGGCTATATCTAGGCTTGGCAGAATTGGATTTTTTAAATAAATTCAATAGATAATATCAATGTTATATTAAAACTTTTTTTATTTTCATCCATTTAAATTTTCACACTTGCGGGAAGTTATGGGGGTCAGACAATTATTTCATGACAATAGATTTTGAGATTCAAAAAGTGAATGCTTTATAACTATTAAAACACAAATTGTCAACATCATATGTCAAAATATACAAAATAAATATCCTTATATCAAACTCAAGTTCTGAAGCAGCACTTTTCTTACTTTGCCTATCTGTAAATTTCAATCATGATAGATGGAAATACTTTTTTGTCGGTTTGTGTGTGTACAAGTTGTCTGTGAAGCTGATGTTTTACTGACACTTACCAATAAAAATCTATTCCTGTCTAAGCCTATCTATATCTCAGTGTTGCCATTTGAATGTGAGAATTTCAGCTTTCATTTAAAAAAAAAATGTACTTCTCATTATTGCAGAGAAAAAACTTGAAAACATGAACCCTAAAGCTCAAAACTAGGTAGCAAATTAAAAGAACCCCACATTTTAAAAAAAGAAAACTCATAATTTATGCCAATCTCATGATTTTTGAGTCCTGACTTGACATTTGAACACTTGGGGTTGGCAAGTGATATCTGCACTTTGATATCAGGGCTGCAGTGTGCTGCCTAACCAGCCCCTAAACCATTCTGTGGAACACACATTTACAACGTTGTTTTGTTTTACAGTCATTTAGTTCAAAGTCTGTCCACATGTTCCCTACTTCATGGAACTCAATTGCAGTCAGGAGCAGTAAGGCCTTGACTTCTCCAACTATTTCTCTTTCTGGGACAAACTGTTACAAGTTTGCCAGTAGCCTGCCCCTGTGCATCACCCTGCATGGGCGCCAGACACAACTGCTGTCCCTGAGCAATCTGAGCGGCATGGATTTTCCCTACTGGTGCTCCCTGCAGTGCAAGCCACCCCAAGATTAACCTGTCCTTCAACACACTAAACAATTCATGTGCACCCTTCTCAGGGTTAGTGCAGCAGGTGTTTTCTTCCTGCAAGTCAGTGAGCTCAGGGAAACATTTCACCTCTGTGGTGCAAGTCAGTGGTGCCTCCTCTTGGGACAGTACAACTCTATCCTAACTAAGGGTTGTGCCTGGATGATAGAGTCTAGACCTCTTTCCATTGCCTGTTCAGTACTGACATCTAGCAAAGCTATTTCAATCCCTCTTCATTAATTAAATGAAACAAAGGAACTGTCCAAGTTTTATTTCAAAGTGCTTTAGAAAGAAAATCAGGCCAGAGGGGTTGACAGTTTTTGGTTCCTGCCGTCCAATAATCCACTATTGCCTTGTTTCTGTTAAATATTCGGTTAGCCCAGTCTGTTTCGCAGAACTCCTCTGCTGACCACTCAGAACAGATCCCTGATCCTTAATTACTGATTCATCATCAATACTGAAGCAACCCCCCAAACAGCCCATCAGCTTCATTCCAGCAGATTTAAAATAATAAACTTCACAACGTAAAATGTAGATGGGAAAAGTTTTCAATTTTAAATTAAGAATATGTGCACAAACTAGAAGATACTGATTTAGGGCCTGATCCTGAGATGTGCGGAGCACCCACAATCCCCACTGAAGTCAATGGTAACAAACAAGACAGTCCAGACGTGATGGAGCTTAACGGAGTTACATCATGGATGTATTTGAACCAAAGGATCTATGATATATTGGAGATATTGCAGTATGACCTTCTGGGATCAGCTCTTAAATTGTAAGCGTGGGATTCTAAAAAATGCTCAGTACTGTCTAACTCTGCTCCTACTGAGTTTGGGGGGAATTTTACCAGTAGAGTTAGGTCCGCACGGCTCATTTTTAAAGATCACATGCCATATACTAAGGATAGGACCACGTCTTCCTCCATGTTTGTAAGTGTCTACTGCGCACTCACCACTCAACATTCCAATCTGATAAATTAGAGCACTGAATTGGCCAGCAGGATAAAGATTCTTACTAGCCACTAGATGTCCCCCAGTGATCATGATAGAGGCAATAATGGGCTTTATAGAACTGCTGAACTACTGACCCCATAGGAAAATCTAACTTTACTGAAAACTGCCCAGGCTCTTATGAGAAATCTCACAGAATGGTCTGTGCTATCCCTTAGGCTGGCAACGGGAAGTATATCTGAAATATGATAGCCAGAGGAACTGCAGTTCCCCTGAGTATGAGACTGCAAGGACGCAGTTATCCCCCTGCTGAGTTGGATGAATTGTTCACAGCAAGGCCACTCCACTGTGTGCTTTACTAAGCTGTATTTGTCAGTTTGTTGTTGGAGGGACTGGAGTGAGAGGGTTGGACAAGGAGAAAGGTTAGTAATGGTTAGTGGAGTGATAACACATTTGAATGGTGTGGATTAAAAAAATCCCCAGCAAATCATTTCAACTCATTTTGATAATTTAAAATCACTTGATCTTTTCAAACCATTTTGTTATTAGAATAATTTGAATTTGCTGTAATCAATTGACTACTCCCATGAGTAAGGCATGTTCCAGGACTGGACCATAAACATGTGCAAACTGCCATTTTTCAAAGACTTATAACTTGGCCAAATTTGGGCAGATTTTCACAGGGACAGCAAATGATACAGCCCTGACACAAAGGCCACCTGCCGACAAATTCAAGTCCCTGCTCCAAAGCATAGAGAAAAGAAAAGGTGCTAGAGAAAGAAAAGGTTGTTAGAATTTTTTGACATGGGCAAAACAATGTATTTTGAGTAGCTTTGTTCTTGGAAATGGCTAAAGCATTTTGGCTGAAGTTTTCTAAAATAATTCAGCCTTAGACAGATACGTGACATAGTAAATTTCAGCCTGAGTGGTCAAAGTGTGGCAAATGATAAGCAACTAATTACAGGATCTTATAATGGGAAGTCCTGGGCAACCATAAGAATGTGGTGCTACCATCCCTGCCTATAACAACACAATTATTGTTTCCAGCACAATAGGTGGTCAAACCACTCTTTGGTCCTGTTTGTGGCAGTTTGAGTCTCCCTGCACCATCTCTCCCTTACCTTGTAGGCCGTAGAGCTGGCCCGTACTGTGTTGCCGTGTAATGTGCTGCCAGTAGGCACTCCGAGGCAAGGGCACTATGGTGTTGAGGGAGACGGCTCGCTCACTCATTTTCATTTGAAGCTGTAAGAAAGGAAAGTGACATCAGGAGGAGAGCACTACAGCGGTGTTTCTAATACCCACCAGAGCATGTTAATTGCTAAGGCAATAGTTGCACAGAAAAACCTGCTGGAGCGTTGGGTGAGAATGACAAACACTCAGGTCCGAGACACTCAGGTTTATTAATTCAAATCTTTATCTGAACCAGACGCATGCCTTGGATTCCAATTAGTATTAAAAGCAAGAAACGACTGAGATACTGAAAAAGACAATGGCCGGTTACCTTCTCCTAGGGAGCAGGCAGGTCATGATGGACTTCTCCTATGTCTCCATGGGAGCCCCAACTACCCCTTACAATCTACCACCTTTTGTATACAACCAAATTATATATTTCATTAGTTCTCTTCCAATCACTACTATGTAGTATGAATATTCTGTGTTTTATGCAACTCCATACAATATACACGTGTAAACTTCAATTAGCATGACTTTTACTGCCCTTGCTATTTTCGTGTTATTTCTAATTTGTTTATGACCACTGATCATACACTGATGGCACGTGCTTGACCAGGCTACGTCTGTCTTTTACCCAATATTAGGGAGTCAGTTTTCTCCAATTAGCTTTTGGCAGCACATTTTGTATATTCATTGTCCTCCAATTTAAGCACATCCTATAGTGAAAACATCACTGTTGTCCCATACAGCAACAGCAGTAAGCAAGTTTACTTAATAACAAGGTCACAAAGACAACACTTATATTAAAACTAGGTTGAAGCCAGCCAAATCAGTACAAATATCATTTAGAAATTACCCTTATGTTAATTCCCAATAGGAGCGTCTAATGGAATAATAGCTTTATGCCTCCACCCCCAGCTCTTCCCAAAAGTGGTGTAGTTTTATATTTTGCACTGGTAGCAGTGACACAGGAAATTAGGGGCCAGATTCCAGCAAGGCTGGGAGAGGGGTGTGCAAAGGCAGCTTAAAGCTCATGTTTGTGCTTCCCTGGTCCTGGTCCAGCACTAGTTCCTCTGAAGGCTGTTCTGAGCCCCCAAATGGCTGAAACAGAAACATGAGGAATTTCTGGCCACTCCCCCTTTGCCAGCAGAGAATTCCACTACAGTGGGGATCAGTCTGCCTGGGCCAAATGTAGTCACACCGCACCTGAGAATCTGACCTTAAGTCTTTTTCAGCCAGGGTGTGATAAGAAAAGAGACGTCGTTCTTATTTTTTGGGCATAGGTTTTTCTTTTCACTATTCTCTGTCTCCTCTCTCATCTGCAGGGCAGCAAGCACCTTTCCCTAACATGCTGCACTGAGGACAACACAGGAGTTCATTGGCTCCTCAACACAACAGAACAAATTCATCCCATGGGCACCTTCATTGAGTTAGACATCTGGGCTTGTCTACACTTATAGTGCTGCACCAGTGAAGCTGTGCTGCTATAATGCTTACTGAAGAGGCCACCTATACCTCCCCAAGAGGCAGTAGCTATGTCAATGGGAGAAGCCCTCCCATCAACTGGAGTTCAGTCGGTATAACTGCAGATTTTCCACACTCCTGAGCAACACGGTTATACCGACATATGTCTGTAGTGTAGACCAGGGCTCAGTACACCAAATGATCAGATTTCCACAGTGAGGAGGACCACAGAAATACCTAGCTAGGGAGTTGGCATGAATTGGGGCCATTCAAACTTCACTGGCCTGAGAAGAAAGACTGATGAGATCATGATGATTAAATGCTGTACATTACACAGAAGCTTTCTAAACAGAACGACTGGGGGTGTTAATATTATGTTGGGGGTGGGGGTGGGGGTGGGGGTGGAATGGCCAATCCAGTTTTGAGCAGAGAAGGCTTTCGGGTGACCTAACAGAATTCACAAACAGGCAGAGGTCAGACAAAGACAAACTGTTCTCATTAGCGACACAGTCAAGTCAGCACACCATCTAAAAATTAGAACATGAACAGAAAACTATGAATGTGAGCAGGGCTATTGCTACAGCTTTTCATACAATGAGTTCAAACATCTGGCATGGACTAAGCTGCCAACTAAGCCCACTGAAGCAGGAGTTTAAGAGACAGGCAGTCTTGTGAAAGAAGAACCCTGTGGCAATGCAGAGGGAGTGCTGGGATACAGCAGAAGGGACCATGCTAAATGTATCCTACCCAGGGATACAGCTGTCTGAATCTTTCATATCCAATTCATCTTGCTTCGGGATTCATTATGAACCTGGCCTTGGTTCACCAAGGTAAACCCAGGACACATTTTGGGTGGATATAGCCTGAGTTACTGATGAACCCTTTCATGCCTAGCTAGGTGTAAATGGCAGGTTTGACCTGCATTGTACTTAATTTGGGGATTCATTCAAGCCTGAGACTCAAAATGAAATAAAGTTTGCCTAATATCTTACAAAAAGACACTGCTGAATTTTGCACAGCTCTATTCAAATAGGACTTTCCTGGCCAGTTGTTCTGTATCGCTATTACCACCAATGAACTAATACCTTAATCTGATAGTTGAGGACTTCTAAATTGTGTTGACATAGTTGCAAGATGGCATGGTTTATAGCTTACCACACATTCATGTCAACAGAAAAACATGCAGGACTTCAAGCAAGAGTTGCGGTAGTATTACTGTGCCACAGCCTACAGCTTCTTTACAATTTGCTCCCCTGAAAACAGGAAAGCTAACAAATTACTGTAATTTCAAATCATATTAGTCAACCAAATAAAGCACTTTGAGATACAATACTCTTTTTATGACATGGGCAGTTTCTAAATGGAGACAGATCAAATTAAAAATGCCATAATTTTTTGGCTCGCCTCCAATTTTGTGCACTGACTGATTGCACCTGCAAGAAGTGGGTATGCAGCCATTTTGCATACGCAAACAAACAATGAATGCACAAATCAGTGAGCCACCTTTTACACCACTCTACAGAAAAGAAAAACTGAGGCACAGAGAGAGCAAGTGATGTGGCTCAGGTCAGAGAAGACGCATGTGTAGCAGAAAGGGAAGAGAAGCAGATCCCATTCCTTAACCAGTAGATCATCTATGCCCTTCAATTTGCTCCCAACTTGAACCAAAACATTTAAAATAATGCTATTTGTATTTGTCTCTATATTTTGTTGTGTATGAGACCAAAACTGGAAATAGCGAGATACGGAGTAGTGGGCCATTCTTGGGAGATTTTCAACCCCACCCAACCTGACATCTTGTTCTCATGATATTTCCAGCGTAATTTTCAGGCCAAGAAGTTTTGGATGTTCAGAGCACGTCTGAAACTTTTAGATGCTTATATCAACCTCATTGAAACTTTCTCAACTGTCCCAGTTGCTAATGTAAACAGGATCAAATAATTTCTGTTGTCTTTCAATTAACAGATGAACACCAAAAAATCACAAAGCTTAACAACCTGTAAAACTCAAAAACATGAAATAAAACTTGCACAGAGAAAGGACAACCAAGAATACTAAATATCATCCTACCATTTGATAGTCAACAACACGACACACATTTCAGAGTAGCAGCCATGTTAGTCTGTATCCGCAAAAAGAACAGGAGTACTTGTGGCACCTTAAAGAGACTAACACATTTATTTGAGCATAAGCTTTCATGGGCTACAGCCCACTTCATCGGATGCGTAGAATGGAACATATAGTAAGGAGATATATATACATACAGAGAACATGAAAAGGTGGAGTTGCCCTACCAACTCTAAGGTTTACAACACTCATAGACTCATAGACTTTAAGGTCAGAAGGGACCATTATGATCATCTAGTCTGACCTCCCGCATGATGCAGGCCACAAAGCCGTCCCTACCCTTTCCCTTGACTCTGCTGTTGAAGTCCCCAAATCCTGTGGTTTAGAGACTTCAAGTAGCAGAGAATCCTCCAGCTAGTGGCCCCTGCCCCATGCTGCGAAGGAAGGCGAAAAACCTCCAGGGCCTCTGCCAATCTACCCTGGAGGAAAATTCCTTCCCGACCCCAAATATGGCCATCAGTAGAACCCCGAGCATGTAGGCAAGACTCTCCAGCCAGACCCTCATTGGCCATTGATACTATTTACCAGTGATGGCACACAAAGATTTTCTCCCTGGTGCAGACCTAAACTCTGTCAAAAACCTTTCATCTGCAAAAACCTTAGCATATAGACAGCTTCCTCTGAAGGTCAGGAGACCCTATGTATTTCAGATCAGGGTAGAAAGCTGTTCCCAGAGCTTAGGGACCCTCCAGGAGGTTGTCCTACCTCCTGACCATTTTCTCAGCTTGAATGTCTCCTCTGCAACTGATTTAGTGCAGCGTCAGAAAAGACATGGAATCTCAAATGGAGAAGTCCCAATCCATTTAGGATTTAGGACTTCCTGGGAGACTACCTGTCTCCTGGTGCCATATTTCTACAATTGAGATCAGCAAATGCATTTGAGTAAAACTATCTCATGGAAAACCCAGTCTCAGGCCTCTTTCCTTACATATAACACCCTCAGGTATATTCCCTAATTCTTTATTTTAAAGTAGAAAGCATTGTCAATTACACTGTGCTTCAAGATATAAAAATGCATGAGATCTGCACTAGAGCTGGTAAAAATAGTCTGAATTTTGACTTTTTAATGCAATTTCTCATAAATTCCATTTTTAATCAATATGTTTTCTCCAGCCAACAGTAAGCTACACATTTCTCAAACTTTAACTCTGTGGCACTGCCAAAGGTTCTGTCCAGAAAGTCAGACTAAGGTCTCTAAAACCCAAAGTCTCTTAAAATCATACCAGTCTCTTAAAACCCCAGTCTCTTAAAATCTCTGTTATTGGGAGCAAAAAGCACAGTAATATCTATGCTACACTGTGTTCTTGCAGAATATGTTCTTAAAGACATGCTTCAAGCATGCTTCAACTTTTATTTTCCTTTAAAAAAATCTGTATCTAGAAATGGAGGGAAAGAATCTTTACAAAATTAGTGTATTTCACAGCGAAAAGGGAAGGGTCAAGCAAGCACACAGAAGAGGAAGAGATAAGGGCTGGCTG